TAAGTTACCCAAATACCCATGGTACCCACTCCTGCTATATGCCTCTCTTCTCATGAGAGTATACTCTTATACTCTTATGGCATGCTATGGGCAGCTCCTTTCAGTGAGCTGACTGATGGTGAGTGAATGCACGCCTGGTTTATAGATGCTTCTGTGTGATGTGCAGGCATCACTCGTAAGTGGACAACAGCAGCAGTGCAGGCCTTTACTGGAACTGACCCGAAAGATGCTACGGAAAAGAATAGCCCCAACTGGCAGAACTTTGAGCAGTGTACCTAGTTTTAAATTTTTCTTGCAAAGAGAAATGGTCAATTACACATTTATATACTGTGGCAAATGGGTTTGTTTGGTGGCCACAGACTTGGGAAGAACATAATTGGAAAACTGGTGACAAGAAGGAAGAGGTATGTGGATAGACCTCTCTGAGTGGGTCAAAGAAGAAAAGAAATGTGTGTTTCATGCGAATGATAACCAGAGGTGACCATAACAGAGGATCAAGTGGATAGGATGATATATTTTATGGAAACCAGTGCTCCTCTTTCCTCAGTCCTTCTTATTATTATTTCCAAATGGGATCATGAGCAAAGTGGCCATGGTGGTAGGAATAGAGTATATGCATGAACTCAGCAAAACAAACCTACTCCCCAAGGCTGGCCCGGCTACCCCTCTGCTGAGTGCCCATTCTGCCAGCACCAGAGACCAACCTGAGGCCTTTGCTACTGTGACATTCCTGAAGGTGATCAGTGAGCAGCCTGTTGGTGCTTATAATGGATCACTTCTATCACTGAATGGACTTTGTTTTGTCCTACTGAGGTAGATTTTTACTCTGCATATGGATTTGCCTTTTCTACTTGTAATACTTCTGTTAAAACTACCATCTGTGAACTCACAGAATGCCTTTCTTCATTTCATGGTGTCCCAAAAAGGACTGCCTCGGATCAAGCTCTGAATTTTATAGGGAATGAAGTATGGCAATAGGCCCACGTTCATGGAATGCCCTGGTCTAACTATACTCCCCATCATCCTGCAGCAGCTGCGTCACTAGAACAATGAAATGTTCTTTTAAAGCAGTGGTTCTAAACTTTCCTAATGCCGTGACCCTTTAATACAGTTCCTCATGTTGTGGTGACCCCAACCATAAAATTATTTTCATTGATACTTCATAACTGTAATTTTGCTACTGTTGTGAATGGGGCGACCCCTGTGAAAGGGTCGTTTGACCCCCAAAGGGGTCACGACCCACAGGTTGAGAACTGCTGTTCTAAAGGAACGATTACAATTCCAGGTGTCAGTACTTTGTAAGAGTGGAGCAATCAAGAAGGCTGTATGTGCTGTAGACTACTAAGGTAAAGTTTCTCATGCAGTCAGGGTCCAGGGTCCAGGAGCCAAGGGGTGGAAAAGGTCGGCACCACTCACAATTATTCCGGTTGACCCATTTGCCAAAAAATTGCCCTCTGTCCCCAGGACCCTGTGCTCTGAAAGTCTACAGGGCTTATTTCCAAAGGGAGACACGCTCTCAGTTGGAGAAACAACACTGATTCCAGTGATCTGGAAGTAAAGAACTCCTCGGAGCCACTTGGAGCTCCTCAGGCCAACCGCTAGTCCCACAGGCAGAGATGAGCGTCGTCATGTTGGCTGGTGTGGCTGATTCTAACTACTAAAGTCAAATTTTATTGATAATAAATAATGGAGGTACAGAGTAAATCTGGACTATCGGATTATTTACTACTTCTTTTCATACTACCATTCCTTCTGATTAAATTAAATGGAATTCTATAGTAACCCAGTAATGTTATGGTGATAAATAGCTAAGGACTTTCAGAAATAAAGTATTGAGTCCATCCACCAGGTCAAGAACCACAACCTATAGAGGTACTTACTAGGGAAAGAGAATGCAGGATGAGCGGTAGAAGAAAATACTTCTCAACACCTGCGATAACCATGCTACTGGTTACAAAAAACAAGACTATACTTGTTTTGAGTATTTCTGCTTTGTTTCATTGTGTGAGAATGGGCAGCATGTTCTTTGCCAAATAAAAACTATCAAGTTCAGTCTGTTTATTTTATAGATGAAGACAATATGAATTCAAATTTTTAAATGATATGTCAAAATGGCCGTTCTTATATTTTTACTTAAAATAAGATTTTCTCTCACCTACTTTCAGCATTAAAAAATAGTAAGTGCCTGTCTATTCTTGAAAGCCAGTGAATCAAACGGGCAGATTTGATTGGTTCTCAAAAGCCTTAGGTTTCACAAAGAGGAATTTCCCTCCTGTTATCCTTGGAGTATTACCTACTATTTGATGCTCATTTCATGGATATCACTCATTCAATATCAGTGCTGTTATCATCATCTTCTATTTTCAAAAAATAGCAAAGGTGCCTCCCATAACTAGATTACCATCTTTGTATGGAGTAAGAGGCTCCCATTTCTCACAACTTGAAATATTTGCTTTCCTTACTTGGAAAAGAATAGAAAGATTGCTTTTAAAAACTCTCCTTAAAAAGTCAATTTGGGGGTTGGTGTTTGGTTAGTAAAACCCACCAGAAGTTTCTTGGAGATGTAATTTTAAAATTCCCAGTTGTGATTGTAATCCAAGAAGGCCACTTAATAAATATTTATACATACCTCACAGCCTGAAACACAATCTTGTGAATTTATAAGATACTCCACCAATGTCCTTCTATGATTGGTTTGCCTTTCAATTAGTTTGCTTTGTTCTGCTATGATTTAATATATAGAAATATCTGGACTATAGCTGAATTCAGAATTTAATTTTATAGGTACATTTGTGTGCTTTATATTGGACTTGTTTCAGTCTGGGTAGACTAGATAAACAAATTTATTGACACTCATAGGTGTATAAGAAAGAGTTTTATATAAAGAATAACTGTATATTAAGAAAACGTCCCAGTCCTATCTAGATCAAGTCCATACATCCGATATTAGCCCACATGTCTGACATCAATCTATAAATTCCTCTCGAGACTCACAAAATGCATGCAATGACACCAGAAGCAGGAAGATCACAGGCCATTGGGTGGGAAGTCTTGTGGATCCAATGGCATTGTAAGTATCTCAGTGCTGGCAGGGGTCTCCAGGTGGCTCCTCCAGCTCAGGACGCTAGCATAGTTCCATGTGTCTTGTCAGCTGCAATGTTGCCCAGGGAGTGAGCATGTGTCTCACCTCCAGTGAGTTATTTATCTCCTAAGAACCTCCAAAATAAGGTCATCAAGCCATGATATGATTGGCAGGCTAAACTCCACCCCTTCACTCATAAGTCTCAAATTGACAACAGATTATGGAACTACCACAGAACTCAAGCTGCTTTTCATCACTATATCCTCTGACATCATGTTGCATGAAAAACAAACGGTTATTTGTATGTGAGATTTCCTGCGTGCTTTGAATGGTTAACAAGCTTAGCTGCTAACCAGAAGCTTGAAGTCTGGAGTCTACTCCGAGTCTACTTTCCTTCAGAAAGGACTGGAAATCCATAGCTTGAAATATAAACAGCCACTGGACACCCCCTGGGGCACAGTTCTACTCTGACAAACTTAGTTTCATCATGAGTCGGAGTTGACTCAACAGTAAGTGGTATTGTTATTATTATTAGAATTAAGGAGAAGAGAGCACGTACTTGAGTCATTGATTCCAACTCACAATGACCCGACCCTGCACAGTCGAACTGCCCTCATCAGGTCTCCTGGGCTGTAATCCTTACAGAGGTCTATCGCCAGGTCTTTTCTCCCTCAAAGCAGCTGATGGATTCAAACTTTCAACCTTTCAGTTAGCAGTAGTGTTTAACCATACCACCACGAGGGCTCATTTTTATATGTAAATGTAGTTGTTAGAATTTACGAAGTATTTCAGCTAAGCAAACCCAATTCATCCCCACCAAAAACCATAAGGTAAAGGATGAGTTAAAAAAAATAAGTGATAGACCCTATTCTGAAGAAAGAATATCGGTATTTTATTTTGTCACTGATGTTAACCACAGCATTATTAATAATTAGATTTACACATATATTAAAATTTGCTGAAATACTTAGTATTCTCCAAAATGGTTAGTCCCAAGCCAAACTCACTGCTATTGAGGGGACACCGAGTCAGAGCGACGCTATAGGAAAGAGTTGAACTGCCTCTGTAGGTTTCCAAGACGTGTAACTCTACAGGAGCAGGAAGCCAGGCTTTCTCCCTCAGAAACACTGGTGGTTTGAACTGCGAACTTGGCGGTTAGCAGCCCAACTTGTAACCACTAAGTCATCAGGGCTCCGTAAAACAGCTAATGCTATAAACGTGCTATAAACGTAATAGTACATCATGTCATTTAAAATACACACACACACATACACACACAATATGAGCATGCCTTTATTATAAGGAGAGGGGAAAGACAGGACAATTCATATGTGTGTAGGTTTTTATCAATGCAAAACAAGACAGCTGAAAAACTATGCACCAGAAAGGCGGGAGATAGCCTACCAAAATAAAAATTAAGGCTTTATCTGGTTAATATGAAAATGGATATATATTTGTTTGGTTTTTATCTCTTCTTTTTTTGAATTTTCTAAATGTCCTCTAGTACGCATTAATTACATTACATTAATTATAAATATGTAAAAGCCCGGCACATTCATGTTAACATGGGTTTTTCCTTTTGTCCTCAGCTGAAATGCTGCATTCTCGAGACTCAGCACAAGATGAGAAAGCCTGTTTCAAGAGAATGTTTGGGGGCAGGCTGCCCCAAAATGGGCCCTTCCATGAGCATCTCTAGAGATCTAACCTCAGTGCTCTCCATCTGAGTTGTGTTGCTCTGCGGAAGTTCACATAATGAGTGTTTTCATCTTTTCAGATTAAAAATGACCTCTTGTCCTTTGTCTGTGCTTCCCAGATGACTGAGGTTTCCTGGTCACAGTATTAGAACAAAAATAAAAACTAAAACACAAGTTCATGGGGTGACTCCTTAATGTTGTTTTGTTTTGTGTTAACGCTCCAGATCCAACAAAGGTAATGGTACCCCCTTCCAGTATGGATGTCATGGTTGGAGAAAGCATTGTTCTTCCATGCCAGGTAACTCATGACCCCTCACTAGACATCATGTTCACCTGGACGTTCAATGGATACCTGATAGACTTTGACAAAGATGGAGACCACTTTGAACGAGTCGGAGGGGTAAGTATTAATACCAAATGGACCACCAGTGAAACAGAATTCAATCGAGTATCTGAAAAAGGACTCATATTACCTAGTAAACTTATTTGAATAAAAAATGTAATGTTATTCTTTTTTTATTTTGATTCAGCACCATGTTTCAAGAACTTCTTGGTTAAGTCCTGCTCCTTTTTATATGATAAATGCATTACTTGTTGAGCATTAATTCTTGGGTGGAGTACATGGCTAAGTGCTAGACTGCAAACAGATGGCTGTTCAAACCAACCCAGAGGCTCCTTAGAAGACAAAGGTCTGCCAATCAGCTTCTGAAGGGCTATAGTCTGGGAAATGCTCAGAGCAGTTCTCTCTGCATACATGAGGCCACTGTGAGTTGGAATCAACTGGGTGACCACCAATAACAACAGCAACTCATGGAGTAGCCACTATACCTGGGGCAGGCCTTCTGTTCATCCCTCAGTGATCCCATAGGCTAGCTATTCATCCCTGTGAAACAAGAAAGGAAATGGAGGCCAGAGGAGTTAGAGCACCTCATAGCTGCTAAATTTCAGAACTCACCTCTAAACTTCACATCTCAAACTCCATGCTATCTACTCTCTACCACAGAACCTGAGTAAGTAAACAGCTTAAGGAAAGTTTCCTCCATTGTTTGTAAGATGACGCATAAAGGCCCTTTAAAATAAGCCAACCCCAAAACAAAATAAAACAAACAAAAACCCAGGCCTACTGCCATCGAGTCAATTCCAATTCATAATGACCCTTTGTAGGATTTGGGGGCCTGCACATCTTTCTCAGAGCAGACAGCTCTCCCTTGGATTGGTTGATGGGTTCAAATCTGTGACCTTTTGACTGAAAACCCAGCACTTATCCCACAGTGCCACCACCAAGGCACCTTATATTCCATGAAAGGCTCTCTTTAAAGCCTGTAAGTAATTTATTGGGTTATTTATCTCCTGGTAATTTAAATTCAAAAGTTTGAGTTTATAAAATGCCTTATTTGCTATTAAAATATATATCACCATTGCACATACAACAAGAGTAGGAAACAATTTGTGTCTACAACTATTACAAAAAAACTTGGTGTTTTTTGTTTTGTTTTTTGCCAGAACACAGCCACACATTCCCACTGGTAATGGAAACTTACACTTGCTGCCATTCTCTTGGATTGGCCTAGATAAAGGAGGCTATTTTAAAAGTTTTCTCACTCCCCACCCACCCTGCTATACGAACTTGATGTGCCATTTCATTTTAGCCCTCCTATGGTGAGAATAAATTCCCTAAAGCTTACAAAGCTATCCACGTGATATAACCAGTTACCACTCAGTCGGTGGACTCACGGGGACCTCGTGTATCAGAGCAGGACTGTGACTTACAGGGTTTTCAATGGCAGGCTTTGTGTCTCTGGGTGGGATTGACATTCAACTTTTTGGTGAGCAGTAGAATATATTGACCATTTGTACTACCAAGGGACTTCACCATGTGATGTATGGAGGCCATATTTTCCACTCCACTGGAATACTAGCTCTACTTATTATCCCTTTATTGCCATTCTCGAAGGCTTCTCAAATCACAGAACTCTGAAACATATTGGAGTGACTGTTTTCACCACTTTCCCAGGGATGGCACCTAACTGACACTATTTTAGAAGGCATTGATCATAAGCAATTATGATGTTAGGAATTCTCTCTTGTAACCTAGATTGAGAAAGGTTTGGTGAAATTTCTAATATGAGGCATCTTGGTCTTAATGCATACAGTGCAACCTAAAAACCTGGACTAAATGATTAAGATATCAACTACTTCACAAAGACATTGAAGATATTAGATATTTTCAGGTCTAGAAAATTACGTGGCTCAAAATGCCTACCTCAAGAGTAATGCTTGATACCATATTAATAATTGTGTTATTTAAAGAAGGGGAGTGTTTATTCTTGATTAGAGAATTGGTAGTTTGAACTGAACCTCCATTCCAGGGGAGAAAGATGAGGCTGTCTGCTTCTGTAAATACTTACATTCTCAGAACCTATAAAAGCTTGATATGAGTTGGAATCAACTAGATGCCAGGGAGTTTGTTTTATTTGATTTTGGTAATCTTTACTGGAGTAGATCATCAAGTTGCTCTTTTTATGAAGCCGCAGGGTGGGTTCAAACTGCCAACCCCTTGGTTAACAACCCAGCTTTAATCATTAACAGAAGTGGATGAGTAATTGTTATCTCATTTTACTGAGTAGTTATGAGATTCAGCAATAAAAAATGGAATCCAGATGAAAGAGAAGGGCTTTCAGGTGAAAATACACAGCTCTTCTTGAATTAAGTTTATTATGTTTATCTTAATTGTTTCACAAAGATATTTGATCATAGCCCTCCATACAGCCAGCTTAAATTTACCTTGTACTTTGCAGTCTTCAGAAGGATTTCACATACTTGTTTCTGATTTTATTCTCACAATCTAGCACAGTAGGCAATACATTCTTCTTTGACCAGTGAATAAACTAAGGCTTAGAAAATTAAGAGATTTAGATTCATAAAGCTATAAAGTAGGGATCAGCTCAAAACTACTAAGTCCCAGAAACTTGAGTTCTCTTCCTTTGCTTCGCTTCCAACACTATCTTTTAACCACAGTTCTCCATGAACATTTGAAGTCTCTTAGAATTTACAATAATTAAGAGTTCCGTTTTTCTCTATTGTCCATTGTAAATACGAATGTGATGTATTAGACTGAAACAAAAGAAGGAAATCAGGTACACACTCATTTCAAATGAGGATAAGGTCTTTCTCCCAGGTAACATAAGCTAGAGCCAGACTGTATGGGTTCAAATACTGAGTTTGACTCTGACAAGGTACCCTTCTTTATCCAGCAAATGAAAGTAAGAAGAGCTCATAGCACTTGAATGGTAGAGCCAACCCTATAGCAAATACCCTATGGGAAATGATAACATGAGCTCTCGTTATTGTTGCTTGAAGGACTGATGATATAAGGGTCTGTGTTAACTTCACAGTCTATATATCGTTTGGGGTAAGAATACTGATGAGGGGGGATTATACCCAAAGATATCTCTCTTGTCATCAGTTGGGTATTCCCCCCAAAAAATACAGCTTCCGAAACCCTGCCTCTGGGGTGTTCTCTTGCTCAATTTATGTTCTCCAATTCTTCAGTTAACAGGGCTATAAAACCAGACTCCGACGTGAAGCAGTGTCTTCAATTAAACTGCTATTTTTGAGGTAGTTTGTGGAGGCACTTCCTCATATTTATTTAAAGTACTGTGCTGGTGAACAGTGCAGAAATATTTCTGGACCACATAGACATCATTACCAGAATGTAATTAGTCCTTTTCATCTGCTAATCAAACATGCATTTGGCATTTGGAAAACAAATTAGCAGTGTTCCACACTAGGTGATGTAAGATTTCCTTGGAGAATTTGGGCCTCTTAATTCTTTGATTCAAACCTGGGAGCAATCAACATGCTGGCTCTGAGACAAAGCTGTGCACTGGAAATACATATCCCTCCAAAGGTGGATTAGCTTCCTCTTTCCAAATATAGAGTTTCAAAGTATCGGAATGACAGTGAAGGTGAAAGATAGAAGAAAGGCTTGTCAGAAAAACACCCAGACTTAAATCAAGAGCCACCTTCCATAAGTTTAAGTGCTTCCAGCCCCGGTGTAAACTGTTCCGGAGAAGCCAGACACCTGAAGTCTTGTTGAAGGCCTGTTCTGGAAATGTTCCTGTTCTTATCTGCCAGGCAGCCGCACATATTTTTAATAGGCCATGGCTTGCATCACTAATGTTTTCATCAGCCAGTGTAAAATAAATCCATTAGTCACAGTGTCCTTCATGTGATAATGATATTTAGAGCTCATTAAAAAGTAATTGTAGCCACTTTCCCCTATTTTATCAGCAGGATTCAGCTGGTGATTTGATGATCCGAAACATCCAGCTGAAGCATGCTGGGAACTATGTCTGTCTGGTACAAACAAGTGTGGACAAGCTATCGGCTGCTGCAGACCTGATTGTAAGAGGTATTTGGAATTTGGTTGTTTTTTTCCCCTTTGTCTTTAAAATATTTTGTGATATTTACTCTAGCACAGAGTTTTAAAAGCATCAGTGGTTTAGTATTATGGAGAAAGGCAGGTGGATGCTGAACTTTGGGAAGAGTGGTGAGGAGCAGACCGAAGTTTTGCATGCATCTGTTTCTCATAGGGGCGTGTCAGAAACGACTGAACAAGTTCGGTTTCCTTACACTAAAAATAAGTCCCATGATAATTGTCAGAGTTTATATGGCCTTTTAGAATAGATTAATAAAAGCAAATGATGTTAAATGTGATCAGACTGTGGCTGTGAGGTTTCACTTGGGGTACAAGTTAGTGTTTGGGGCCACCTTTAGAACAGCAGCTTCAATAAAATCCTCACCAGGCCTAAAGTTAAAAGTGCTACCCTGGGGGAAGAAGGTGGTGGGGGAGAGTGTGGTGAGCAAATAACACTATAGACAGGGGAAAACTAGGGAATTAAAACCTACAACAAGGAGGTTGAGTGTTGGAGCAACAGCAATCTAGCTGAGAGGAAGCACTAAGAGGTGGAAGAAGGGGGGACATGATGGTGAGGCAGGAGGAAGGCAAGAGGAAACCGAGAAAGGCTCTAGGAAGCAAAGCTATAGATAGAGGTATTCACAGAGGTGTGTACTTATGTAAATACATTCATCCATAAAAATATGGGTATTGGCCTAGGTACATATATTTATAAGGCAATACTCTGAGGTTTTGGATGGATATCAGGCCACAGCTCATACCCTCCATCAATACAAGAACACTTTGTTCTAACAAACTGGCATTTTGTGATGCTCACCCTCACCCCACCCCTGCCAGCACAATCGCTGAAGACAAAATGGATGCATAAGCAAAGGTGGTGAAGAACATGGATGCTGCCCAGCTATTGAAAGATATGGCATCTGGTATCTTAAAGGCTTGAAGTTAAACCAGCGGTCTTCCTGCGGTGAAACAATAAGCCCACACGTAAGAAGCGCACCAGCTGGTGCAATCATGAGGTGTCACTGGGACTGGGTAACAGGCATCATAAGATTCATAACAAACAAACAAAGAAAAACACATTGTTGAGAATAAGTGGGGGTTGGAACAGAGACCAAAGTCCATCTGTAGACAATGGAAATCCCCCCACAGAGGGGTCACCAGGAAGGGAAGAGTCAACCAGGGTGCAGTAGAGCACTGATGAATCACAATATTCCTCTGGTTCCTTGAGGCTTCCTCACCCCCCACTGTCATGACCCTAGTGCTGCTTCTCACTCTCGACTGGACCAGAGCATGTCCACAAGTATAGATAAGAGATACAGCTCACGACACACGGAATCTGGGAACGGGAATGGGAATAGCAATACCAGAAGGGTACAGGGAAGTGGGGGGTGGAAGGGAGGAAAGGTGAACCAATCGCAATGATTGGCCCATCACCACACACACCCCTCCAGGGGGAAGAACAACAGAAACCATCGGGGAAGGGAGACA